TCCCCCCACCCCCCAAAAAACGTTTTCTAAGCAGAAGGGTGGGGTGTTGTCGCGGTGCTTCACCGTTACATCTCTTTCTCGTGTCTACGGGGCAAACTCAAACACGACGGGTTAAAGCGGGCCGAAGGCCCGCTACATCATTTGACCATGTTCTTCGGGCGGCCCGACCATCGCCGCCGGCAGGCCAAGCAGGCCCGGCCCCTGCCGAACGGAGTTGCCGGCGGAGCGAAGCGGAGCTGGCAACTTCGTTTGGCGGAAGGGCGGGCCTGCTTGTTTTTTCTACCGACCCGCCGCTCTTCGACTTTTCATGGGTCACCTAAATACGCTTTAACACGAAAAATCACGCATGTGTGTCAAAAACTTAGGAGATATTATAACATATACCTTGCTCTACCGAACGGGTCATTTTGACCCCTGTATTAGTTTTCGAGGGCTTTGATGGTTTTAACGAGTGGTTTCCAATTTAAGCCTGGCCACTGTTGTTCTGTGTAGTAAGTATTGACTTCTGCTTGGTCGTGTGACAATTTTAAACCTCTATCAGCATAGGTAGGAACCCGCACTTCAACAAAATGTAATTCTTCAGAGGTTTTGCAGAATTTTTCGCAAGTTGAAAACCGCTCGTTAAAACCAACCAAGCCTTCGAAAACTAATACAGGGGTCAAAATGTATTGTTAGGTAAGCATTCTAGTTTGCATTGATGATCTACCCCACAAATAGTTGACTGACCTTGGTCCTGTTTTGTTGAGGCCTTTCTCACTTCAAATGCCGTACAAGATATTTTGTATGCTCGATTGGGAAACATTTTCTAGGTAACTGTCAAAAATTTCTAATTTTTTCTAATTTTTTAGGAAAGTTGACTAGTAAAGCCAGCCTACAACTTCAAAATCGTAATGGCCTTTTAAAATAACCAACGTGTCTAAGTTTCGGTTTAAAAATGATGGCAGGCAGGGTTTAAGGACTTTTTAGACTTATTGGGTAAGTATTGCAGTCCTTAAACCCTAAAACCAACAAGGCAACTTTCCTGAAAATTAGAACTAGGTAGATGTACGCCAGACCACGTCTCGCGTAACAGGCTTCGCGATGTCTCACGAAACACTGTTACGCTGCGACGCGCCTGGCATACATCTACCTAGGCCTGCGGCGCTGACACCCGAGTCGGGCAAAAGGCAGTGTCGTTGATTGGCCTTCGGCTCCAAAGGACACAACTTTTATCCCCATGATTTTTTTTTTTGACGAGTTGCCCCACCAGAGACCATCAAATATCCGAGAAACAACATTTAAATGGTTTGGGGTCATTTTCGTGTGACAATCGCCCTCTGGCGGCTTAACGGTTTGAGATAGAGCCAAACAGACAAAATTTTGGCCCATAGGGTTCTACTTTGACGAGTTACGTCTTAGAAAGATGTAAAAAAATAAAAAATTAAAAGTAATATTTTGGCGTTTTCGTTTTTGATTTTTTTTGACACGTCAATTTTTAAGCTAGAGGGCTCAAAATCAATACAGTTCTTGCTTTTTATGCCACAAAGCTACGCTAAAAATGTCAGGTACCTAGCTCAACCCGTTCTCGAGTTATCGTGTTTACAGACAAACAGACAGACAGACACACACACACACAGACAGACAGACACGAAACTTTTTGATCACCACTGGAGTAATAGGCTTCGCTATCGCTCAGCCAAAAATTAGAAATCTTAGAGAGTTATCTAGAAAATGTATAGAAATCTAGCATACAAACTGTCTTTTACGGCATTTGAAGTGAAAAAGGTTTCAACAAGACAGGACCAAGTTCAGTCAAATATTTGTAGGCTAGATCATCAATGCAAACTGGAATGCTTACCCTATAAGCCTTAACAAGTTTGTAATTTTTTAAATCCAGAGTGTTATGCTTTTGAAGTTGTAGACCGGGTTTACTAGGCAACTTCCATAAAAATTTAAAAAAATTAGAAATTTTAGAGAGTTAGCTAGAAAATGTTTTTTGGCTGAGCGATTAGCCAAGCCTATTACTCCGTCTGGTCGGAAAAAAACTTTTGCTGTCTGTATGCACGTCTGTCTGTCCGCACGATAACTCGAGAACGAACTGAGCGAGCGACCTGGGATTCTCAGGGTCGTTTTCTACCACAAAAAGACAGATCGAGTTCGAAGATAAGCATTCTAGCTGAAAAATTTGACTTTTAAAAAATCAGAAACAACAGGTCACAAAAATGACGTTTTAAAAAAATATTTTTGTGTGGTTTCCTTAAAGGTAACTCATCCAAGTAGAGGCCCACGGGCCACGGGAGAAAATTTGGTCCGTTTTGCTCTAGCTCAAACCGTTGAGGCGCTAGAGAGTCTTGTGGACGAAAATAAGCGGAAAAAAGTACAGCCCTGCATGCTTAGTCGAAGTGACGGGCCGGTGACGGGCCAGAGGCACGTATCTTTGTGTACAGTTTTCTACTACCCTACCCGCAGGCCAAGGTAGCTGTATGGCAGGCGCGTTGCAGCCTAACAGTGTTTCGTGAGATATCGCGAAGCCTGTTACGCGAGACGTGGTCTGCCGTACATCTACCTTGTAAATCTAGCCTACAAACTGTGTATTACAGCCTTCAAAGTAAAAAGAGTCTGAACCAGACAGGGACAAGTTTTTTCAAATATCCTAAGAGTATGAAACTTTAACGGACAGTTAGTTTGGCACAATTTGCCCCATAAAGAAGCAGCCCAAACTGTCCCTTGTGTGGCAAATTAATAGACCATTTCGCCCGAAGTCAAGGTAAAGTCAAGGTAAAATACACCCGCTGACACCCGACTCGGGTAGTGCAAAAATGTACACAAAGACACAGGCCTCCGGCCCATCAGCGGCCCGTCACTTCGGCTAAGCATGCAGGGTTAGACATTTTTTCGCTTACTTTCGTCAAAGATACCCTCTAGCGCCTGAACAGTTTGAGCTAGAGCAAAACGGACACAATTTTTGGCAAAAGGGCTCTACTTTGATGAGTTACCCTAAAGTGTAGTATATAAAAAATATTTTCGAAAAATGTCATTTTTTGCACCCATTGTTTGTGATTTTCTTTTTAATCCAATTTTTCAGCTAGAATGCTTATCTTCGAACTGGGCCTGTCTTTAGATGGTTCAAAACGACCCTGAAAATCCCAGGTCGCTTGCTCACTTTGTTTTTCGAGTTTTCGTGCGGACAGACAGACAGAGAGACAGACAGACGTGCAGACAGACAGACAGAAAAAGTTTTATCCGACCAGACGGAGTAATAGGCTTCGCTAATCGCTCAGCCAAAAGGTTTTACGAAATATAATACACATTTGTAAAACACCCTTTATATCGTTAGATCACGGTGTAAACAATCATATTCAATTTTATAAAGCGACCCCTGAAAACTAAAAGGTCGTACGTCCGAGGGTCCGCGTAAAAGGTCGTACTTGGGAGCGGTTGCGTATAGTGTCGGATCTCGCTAGGGTCCCGGAGAATGGTCGTAAGTCTAATTTTTGTCGATTTTGCGAGATGCATATCATTAGAAAGATAATTTTTTCCTGATTCTAATGATGTGCATCTCGCAAAATCGACAAAAATTAGACTTACGACCATTCTCCGGGACCCTAGCGAGATCCGACACTATACGCAACCGCTACGAAGTACGACCTTTTACGCGGACCCTCGGAAGTACGACCTTTTAGTTTTCAGGGGTCGAAAGGTCAACAAATTGTACTAAAAATTTCTTAGTGAGTTGAATATAAACCGTTTCACCCGGGAGTGCTGTAATTTTGTAGAGATAATGAGAAATGCTAAAAATAGGGCGTATGAACGTACTAACTCAATAACTTTTATTTGGAGTGATTTTCCCCTTGGCACAAAGTACCAGGTTTCGCCCTTGCGCGCTTTCGTCAAGGACAAAGGACTTGGCTCTAAGTTTCTTTGGTACTTGAATCAAGCGTTTTTGTCTCACAAGTATACTTGGTATGCTTTACTTTAAAGAATACTTTATAAAATTGCTGCCCTCAAATGTAGAGCAAAATGCTACTCATTCGAACAAGAGGATTTTGCTCTTGAACCAAGAACCAATCTTTATTAGTCCATTCTTTGATTTTTGAGCTGTAGTTTCACGATATAAGTTGTTGTTCAAATTTATTGCTGGACCTGGGATTTTATTGAATCAACTGTGAACTAATGCTACCTTTGTTACACTGTTAAACAGGGTTGTAAGGTCAGACTGATTTATACAAATCCTCAGGTCTCCTTTCAAACATTGCCAGCAAAGTCAAGTCCAGTCTTAAATTTGTCGATAGAATGGAAATTAGCTTTTTAAATTAAGAGGAAACATGATTTATGCATAAGAAAAAAAACTATTATACTTTACACCCAAAACTTTACACCAAACACCCAAAAGCCGATTATTGACTGGTAGTCGAGTATTGACTCTTGGAGATAACATGCAGATGGTGATGGTAGGAACAATGGCTCCCATAGTCAATACTCGACTACCAGTCAATAATCAGTTAGAATAGCTCATATAGTTATTCCAGAGACTTTTTAGGTCATCTGTCCAATTACAAGCGAACATATTAGCTGGCAGAGCGAATCTATTTTGTTCGTGCTATAACAGTTTAGTTGTATTCGACACCCCTTTGGGATAAAAGGCACACAGTTCGGCTTCAAGATCCGGACTCCACGCAGTTCAGCCGCTAGATCCGAGATCCACGCAGTTCTTTGCTACAGGGATAGAAAGTGCGTGAGGCTTGGATCTGGTGGGTGAACTACGTGGATTTTGGATCGAGGGGTTGAACTGCGTGGAGTTCGGATCTAGGACCTGAACTGCGTGCCTTTTATTCCAAAGTGTCGTATTCACTTGCAAAGTTACCATTCCTTACTTCGTTATACTTTTTCCTTCTAGTTCTTTTATTTTTACGATAAAAAGGAAGTAAACCTAAAAAGTCAGAGGTAATACAAAACACGGGCCCTCAAATGGGGTTTAATTTTCGGAGATCTAGATCTAGAAGCATGGTCTGTCACAATACCTTGTAGCAGAACAGGCGAATGTTCCCGGGCGAGACATTCTGGATGTATCATGGTGGCTGGTCCAAAAGTACTGGCGATCGAGAAGCACACAACACTGCTCAGGTAATATTGTTCTCAGTGAAACCAACACAACCGTGATTACTGTTTTCGGTTGTGCGCGCAATCAACGACCACATCTCCAGTTCAGGAAGCAAGATTGTTACGCGGAGTAACGTTGCGCCACAGCTTCTCCCGTCCTAGCACCTCTTGTGGACCGCACTGAGCACTGCTGCGCAGCCACGCAGCCGCACGCCAAAGAAGGTCGTTCAATTAGAACCTTCACAGCTCAGAAGAGAAGGGAGAGTGAAGCTGGTGCTATTTATATATGGACAAACCAGCAACGAGATTTGACTGAGAATGAAGCACGTCACGCTAACATGACATCAAGATTCACTCTCTGAGTGGAAGGATCTTAACTTCAAGTGTACATTGAGTTATGGTTGGCTTTCAAACTAAAAAATATATATTTAGGTCTCGAAATCAAGAAAAGTATATGGTTTAAAAAAATCTGTTTGGGATCTTTACGGGCATCTTCTCAGGACTTTTATTGAAGTCACAGTGTGTTAACTTGTCTAGATAAAACCCCGGGGAGCAAAATTTGTGACGTTCTGGGCCAAAGGCCTCATTACAACTCTGCCTTTTGCCCGAGGGGTCGCCGACTCGTCTGAACCTTGTACCCAGTACTATATATCATAGGTATTATAAAAGCATTATAGAATATTATAAGTATTATAGTCTATTACAGGATGTTATAAATATTACGGTATTACAGCTAGTATTATAGGGTATTACAAGGTATTATACAGGGTAACAGGCAATTTTTGGAAGCTAGAAGTTGCACTGACACTTTCCAAGTGCTCTCAATTCCTTAAGATTCACATAGTTGTTGACTACTTAAGCCCAGTTGAGACCCTAGTTTTAAACATGTTGTTTCTGATTACTTTTTCGAGTTATAACGATTCAGTTGATAAAAACTGGGGGGGGTGTTTTGTATATTGGTTCCTCTTACAAATCTAACAAAAAAAAAAGAGTTAGCTGATCTCCTTCCTCTCACACGCACGACGGACGGACGGACGAACAAGAAAGCGGTTGCATAAGCCCGCCTTAATGCTTTTTTAAAAGCAGAAGGGCAGACCAGATGCTGGGGACTCACGGGGGCTGTTTACAAAAATTGAAGTCACGAGGGTACCTTCTTTTAAGAGGAAAAATGTCCTGTGGGATTTCAGCCACTGGTGGATTTTTCATGTTGTATAGGGCAGAGGATACAGTGATTGTCTGGGGCTTACAGTGATTGCCCCCTGTGAATTTGAACGTTCGTGGCCGGTAAACGGTACGTCGCAGGTAAACCGGGCATAGTGCCATCTATAGGTCGTTCTTTTCACCACTGAGTCGCGCAACCATCACCCCGCCCATCTCCCTGAGATGGGAGCTACAGCCGCTACAGCCGGTGCCGACTGGGATTACACAAACAGTGACGCACAAGGTGAGTTTCACAGCACTCGGAGCAGAATGCTAGAATCGGGGGTGTTTAGACCGTATGCCGAGGCATTTGTTCGAAAACTTCTTTGAGGATAGGTTGATGAAGGTTCATTGTACTACATGGCAGATGAGATAATGCAAATATTTGGCTATAGCTTGCTGTAGGAGGAAGGGACAATCACTGGTTCCCGAAAAGTTAATGCGACAGTGATTGTCCCTTCGTCGAACATGAATGTTATTCGAACAGAATGTTACTCGTTTACGCCCTCTTCGGTCCCTCGAACCACATTACTACTCCCACTGCCACTGAACGAACATTGCCAGGTGTTCGCGTCTCGAATAGAGATGATTTACAAGTTTCTCGAACTTTCACCTAAAAATCGCTTTTCAAAATACGCTGAAAGCGCCATAGGAAACCCGTCGAAGGGCTGGCCTGGCATACCGCGAGTTGTAAAAGTATACTGTCGACACGCGGAGGAAGGAAACATGATATGGTCAGATACAGGCGCTTCGGCTCGGGATTGGCTAACTACAGCACGTCAAAATGTCTTAAACGGACACGCTTCGTTCCGCACAGAAAAATCGCACTAGTTTACTTGTTTAAATGATTTGAAAGAGAGCAACACCTTTTTGTCGGAGGGGGGGGGGGGGTGTTTTAGGGACGCAGGTTAGTCATGTGGCCCCCAAAACGGCAACCAAAGTGATAACCAAAGAAATCTGCGTTGTATTAACACTTATATCGACCAAAATGGCTGGTATAAATCACTGTATCAGCCCGGACAATAACTGTACCAACGGGGTCAATCACTGTGACAATCATGCCCTAAATTCATGGGCTGTTTAAACCAAAAAGAATTTAGAATTTCACTCACAAGCCACCACATAGTCCGAGCCCAAACCCTTACTTAGGCATTGCACGTAGCGAATTTTGAAAATTTTAATCGGCAGCTCGTTGACAGGCAGGTGTATGCAAATGTGCGCTTATAGGGTCAATCACTGTATCCTCTACCCTACCAGATCCCGTGGGGAAAAGTAACCTTTGGGATATTCTACCCTATTGGGAAGATGTCCCAGGCCAAAAACCTACAGGAGCCAGTGGGGAGTCTCTTCTGATGGTAGGCCGTGTGGAAATTTTTGTCTGTGTGTCCAACTAAACGACGAAAGGAAGTATCCACGTGCGAAACTTCATTTTCGACCAAGGTGGAGACTATCCCTTAATATCCACATAGATATTCAGTGGATGTGTGGTGGACCAATCCTCATCCACGCGATTCACGAAGAACCGGTGGAATCCACGTGGATGGGACGTGCCGTGTCCATGGGGAGGCTACGCTCTACTTCTGTAAAGTCCCATTAAATTTGTTTGGAGTGACAGCAGCCTCGCAGTCCTACCTAAAGGTGCGCGAGGCGTGACGCAGCGGAAGACTGCTTCGTAAGATATTGCGACATGTGGTCTGGTGTAGGAATACGTATATGTGCCACACATAGAAGCCATAGTGTACATAGTTTAAATTGTGTCCAATGTACTTTTAGAAGCGACCGGCATGTGTTTAAAGCGTGCGTTGGTGAGCCTCCGTAATTTTAAGATATTGAGTTTGTTTGCTTTTTGACGTTGCCTGTGTATGTGTGCCTGTTGTTGTTTGCAAAGGGCATCTTGTGGTCGCAACTGTCGTTGCATCAGCTCCTACGCTATTCCAAATGGCTGTTCGAGGTGTACAGTGTGTCGTGCTGTATCGCCTGCCTCTTCACTCTGCTGCTAGTGGAGCAGGCCCTGCACTCTGCCTGCGCTGTCTTGTTCAGCGAAGTAGCGTATCGATTTCAACGCTGCCGGATGGCCCGGGTAAGAATTAGACAGTAGATGCCTTTTTCGGCGAATGCAAGCGGAAAATTGCCTATGAAACTGAAAGTCCCACAAGGGGGCATCAAATCGAAAAATGAAAGAAGTATCCCCCGAAACCGCACGTTCCCAATGCTTCTAGATCCAGTCTTCTGCTGTCAACTGCACGGTGGCGTTAGGTTAGGTGGTGGTCTGGATTTTAATTTCGATTTTTAGAATAAGAATGTTATTCAAAATACTTTCGCTGGCATACTGGCATAATAACACGTAGTCGTAATAATCTGATGCAAGATGTCGGCGCTAATGAATTCGACAGAGCAGACACATGGATACAGAAGCCATGAGGCTGAGAGCGGACCAGCACCATCCTCGCCTCCCGTTTCCGGCATCAAGCTTACGCGGAATACTCTAAGAGTATTCCAGGCTATCTAAAACAGAAGTGAGAAAAGGACATACTCATCGATTTATCTATTTCCGTTTGCTCAGTATGAGAAATTACCGTGGTAGTTTGGTCCGATTGTAACCTGGAGGGGAGCTCGTAACTGGTCTGACAGTTTTTCAAATCTGAAAGGGCGTCGTGGCATGTGATCAGCTCAACCAACCAATCTGAGTCATCACGGAAACAGAAAAGTCAATGAGGTTGTTCTTTTCCTACTTCCGTTTTGGATCGACTGGAATAATACCCTATTAAACCCTTTCTCGACTTTTTACAGCGACAAGGTAACGCCATCTTTAATCGCATCGCGCGGCTACACATATCAGTGCTTGCAACATGCCGGGATGTGAACTTGGCGTTTGGCCTGCTTCTGCCGTCGTACCTGCTTGTGAGCGTACTCATGTCTCTGCTTAGCACGGTAAGGTAAACGCGTGGTGAGTAATAGGTTATTTCAATGCAGCGTTGCCCGTAACTAAGAAGAACAAAAGCGGATGCAGAGAGCGTTGTGGGGGTGGGCGGTCGCGCAGAGGAGCGGAGGGTGGGGCCAGCCTCCCCGTCCGCCCGCCGCTCCTCCCTACCGCTCTCTGTATCCGGGAGGGTTATTGTTTCTTTTTATGTTCTTGTATTGCCATTTGGGCGTAGAGTCTAAAAGGAGAGGGGAGGGAGGGTTGTATTGGGTTGCCCTATTTCTTTATCGCTTGTAATCATCTTCTGCGTAAAGGTTTCATCCCTCACCCTCATGTTTTATTCTAAATGATCTATTGCGTTGTGCACATTGAACTTTAAAAGAAAGTTAAAATCAACCTGTTTGTGACCCAACCTGTTTGTTGTTTGTTTAAAAATTAATTTGCACGCGCCCTCTCTCCTGGGAAGCACACCTTACAAATTACACCAAAATTTTGGTTTTGTTCTGGGAGCGGCCCTCCGCGGCCGCCTGGTGCCCTGGTCTTCTCTATTGACTTCTCTTCGCCTGCTACCCTCTACCTGTTACCTTTGAGTGGTGAGCTCCGGGCATGTTTCGGTTGGCCAAAAAAATTAATATATTAAACCTAGGCAAAACTCAGATTACACTATGTTCCTCTGTCAAATCCCTCTGGTGGACTTACGTTCCTTTGTCAGCTCATCCATGGACCTAAGATTCCTCTGTCAGATCTACAGGGGGGTATCAAAAGACATAAGCCACGCTAAAAGCTGTTCTAATTGAGATAGAGCTGCATATGTTTCGCAATGAAGTAATGCATCCTTAAACAAAACATTCTGCGAAGGAAAAAGTAATCTAGATCTAGACTTAAAATTGTAACAGCCAGCCTAGAATTAGACCCACTTTTAGCCCACCTAAAAAATTAGCTCAAGTGGACTCAAATCCCCTTTTCAAATCATCATTGAATGAGCACGCAGAGGGAAAAACATCGAGCAGTCATGCTTTTCCTCTTTAGGTTCCAGTACTTGCAGCGGGATAGGGTACTCCACTACAGCCCGGAGCGGAACTAAGAAGAACAAAAACGAGGTGGAAAGGCGAGAGGAGGGGGCACTAACCAGCCGCTCGGGCCTCGGTGCGGCGGCGCAGCCGATCGGAGGCCGAGTCGCGTTCGCCACCCGAGCGAAAACCGAAGTCTTGGAACAGACAATTGGGCGTGCATGTTACTTGAGCTAAGGGTGCAGCTGATCAAATGGTAGCAAGACACATGCTCAAAATGTATGTGCATTTATCTCCCTATAGGAATGACATTTCTCAACGTGTGAAGGACCACTTATGTGATACCCTTTTCGCTTATCAAACAAAATTGTCGGAGAGAATTGACGAGTAAATTTATGTGCTTGGCAAAAGGAAGAGAGAGACCTGCAACTTTACAAGGACAAAACTTTCTCCAAAGAGAAGGTGTGGAGAGCAGAGTCCTCACGGCTTATGAGAGAATGCTTGTACGAGGTATTGAATACCGGATCAGAACGTACCATGAAGACACTCGTTCTAATAACAGTCATATATTTACATGGGAAAACAGCTTTCTTATTATTGACAAGATCATTGTAGTACAGGTAAATGAGAGTAAAATCTGCTTTGCACTTGCTACCATACGTCATGTTGATTACCCAATCAGATTAGCGCTTCACATAGCGCATGTCTTAAGAAATGAAGAGACTATTCTTAGACCAAGTGTTATCAGAGTTCCAGTTATAAAAATGGTTGTTAGAGAAGAAACTTACTTAGTGCCAATGGCCAACTGTCACGAAATTGATTGAAGACTTGTTCAGATGAAATGAAGAAATGTGATAAAGTGATGTCGACGTCGGGCGGAGGGGCTCACAAGCGCAACCGATCGCAACCGTAACGGGTCGCAGGCGCAACGGCTCGCAAGCGCAACAGGGTCACAAGCGCAACGGGGGTCAACCGTCACGGTTCGCAAGCGCAACGGCTCACAATCGCAACGGCTGTTGCTGCGTGTTCCTCAAGGATCAAGGAACAAATGGCAATTTTTACTCATTTTCTACTGTTAAAATTAGCAACCCCACAATAAGAGGAAGACAGCGCTGCAGAGAGCGCCGAAAAACAGATAGGCTAGTCTTTCGGGGCAGCGAAACAGATGGGCTAGTCTTTCGGGACAGCGAAACAGATAGGCTAGTCTTTCGGGGCAGCGAAACAGGTAGGATATTGTTGCACGGACGCGTCGAGTTTTTAACGCTTTTATTCAATCTTTTTTAACATATGGTATTGATATTGGGGCCATGAAGAAAATCAAAAAGGACTTATTTTAAAATTATTTATGCTTCAAAAAAGAGCCTTAAGAATTCTTAACGGAATCAACGACAATGCAATACCATGTGGAGGACTTTTTAGAAAGAACAAAATTTCAACAATTACATGCCTATATATATATATCACTCGGCAATAATGGCCAGAAAAAATTATAGTAATGAAATTTGTAGTAATGTACACTCCTATGCTACTAGAAATAGAAACAATATATTTATAAACCACTACTGCAGGGGTAACATAAACAAGCTAGGCTCGCTCTTCCGCCAAACCAAGTTGCCAGCTCCGCTTCGCTCCACCGGCAACTCGGTTCGGCAGGGAGCGGGCCTAGCTTGGCCTGCCGGCGCCTTCGGCCCGTCCCTTCTGGTTTTTCATGGTGTAACAAAGCTTCCATCGGAAAACGGGCCTTCGGACCGTTTGAGTGACAGCTCGCTTTGAACCATCTTTTTGCCAGGTACCTTTGCTGTCTACTTCGTAATTAAAACTCAACAAACGAAGCATTCTTTTCATACGCGCAACATCTTTGGCTATGTGTGCCGCAGTTTGTAGAATACATGCAAGTTATGTCAAATCCCTTCTAAGTTTTTGATGTTAGCTTATGGATCCAATAACACACCTATAAAAAGATATTTAAGACTAGACCCAGAAGAAGTTAAATATACTTCCAGGCATACTCTGAAATAACTCCGAACGTGTCCGCAATGATTTTGCTTTAATTAGTGATAGAACGGAAGCAGCATGTGAAGTACAACAAAACAACGAAATAAATGTTTGTTTTTTTTGGTATTGGAGTGTACACATTATATTAATAATGTACCACCACAAAATAAGCCCACTCTTCTGCTTAGAAGAAAATTTTGAACCGACGGCATAGGCTACTTCTCCGACAAAAGTGTACTCCTGAAAAAAACGAAAAAGATTCTGTTTTGGCCATTCCAGTGAGAAAAATTCCCTTTTGTAAGTAAACAGTGAAAGCCAAACGGACGACATTTCTAGCCCAAGGGGGTTCTTCTTTCACGATTTACCTCTTTGAAAACATTTTCTTAAAAGAAAATATTTATTTTGGGGCCACTTTTGTGAGAAAAACTCCCTCTAGCGTCTCAACGGTGAGAGATAGAGCCAAACGGACGAAATTTTCGTACAAAGGGTTGAACTATCACAAGTTACCCCTTAGGAGACCATAAAATAAATATTTCTTTCCTACTTCCTAGACCACCACCTATTTCTTCGTTACCCCTTCAGACCCACTCAGGGGTGGTTGCCAGGATTTGCACCAACCGTTTCGTTGTCCAGAAGTGACAACAATAACACCCTGAAAATTTCAGACCTCTAGCTCACGTCCTTCTTGGGGAACAGACAGACACACAGACAGACAGACAAAAGGGCGATGGCATAAGCCCGCTTATATAGCTTTTAAGCAAAAGAGCGGGCTAAAAA